ATTATCCAGTCAGATTACCCAATCCTGAGACCTTAAAGCCAACAGGTCCACCGTTCATTGCTGACCCAATCAGAACCAGACCGACCCGCACAGACCTGGTTCTGAGACACAGAGTCCAAACATCTTAGAAACAACCGAGAGGAAAGCTTTGATCTGATGATGGGAGGGGCGGCCATCTTGGATGCAGAGGACAGTACCGTCGGGTCAGAACTCTGCCTTCTGGTTCAACCCAGCTGATGTTTCATCAGAACATCTGACAGCTGGAGATCCAGAACCGACACGACGTTTCCCTGGAAACTCTGCGGGATTCAATAAAACGATTAAAACCTCAGAAAGCAGAAGCACAGAGGAGGATGTGTGGTGATGAGGGCTGAGGGGAGGCTAGGAGACCGAGTCGATGGGATCAGGAGTCAGAACCATGACCCTGATCTCGTCTGCTGGGTCTGGTTAGGATGGAGCGGGTTCTGACCGGGTCAGGAAAAACCAGACCGATGGAGGAGAAAACCAAAGAACGGTCCGAACCGGGTCAGAACTTCAGGTCAGACAGTTTGCTGCTGGTTAATGGTCTCCAGGTTCAAACAGAGCGGATCCAGTAGGTCAGAACCAACAATGTGACCGGGAACGCCATCGACCCGCTAACGGCGGAGATAAAGAAGTTCTGATGGGTTCCTCTGGGTTCTGGAGGAACCGAGGATCCTGGTTACTACCGATGAAGAACCAGCTTTCAGGGTTCCAGAACCAATCCAACATCCTGCCAATTGTTCCCAGACCAGAACCGGACCGGGTCAGAGATCTGGGCTTGGATCATCAAACATCTGCAGCTCAGTCCAAATATTTAGGGGGGAAGGAATCAGCTTCCAGGAGGGATTAGAACCAGAACCAGATGTTACTGCAGGCGGTTCTGGATCCAGTTTAACCCGAACATGTTTGGTTTTTCGGTTCCGGAGAGTTTTTATATCAAAATGGGATAAAATCCAAACTAAAACCAGACAGAGAGAAAAATAACCCAGAAACTGAGAGCAGAAGAACTTTGATTCCTGCTGAGGTGCAGATCAGGGCCTCAACAAGCCCAAAAAAGGACAAATCTGGGTCCGAACCTCCCAGAACCGGATGGTATCCAGTAGAACCGAGACCTGAAGGTTTGATCTGGTGAAAACTTCAGAGTTTGGACCCTGATTAGATGCTCATTATGAAGAACCAAGCGGCTCCAGGAATTACACGCTGAATGGAAACCAGACCCGCCTGATGGAGCCGCTTAGAAAACACAAAAACAGGGAAAAATTCTCCCTGAACAAGACTTTCCTCCGAGCCTTCAGCTCCAACACCAACCAGCAGTAAAAACTGGAAAAATCCTGATTTTTCCCAAAGCTTTCCCAGCGGAGTTAGCCGCTGAGCTAACTGGCAGGAATGCGGCTAATTAGCGGTAAACAAACTTTACAAAGTTCGACTAAAATATCCAGAAAATCCCCCTCGGAGTTAAATCAATGAAATAAAATGTTTTTAATGAATTTTAGGGGTTTTTGACATATTTTTGACACAATAGCAGATCGAAAACAAGCTGCGCTGAAAAAAAAAACTTTTTCCACGACGGCAGGATCCGTCTATCTCCTGGCGGCAACTCCGAGCCCCAATCTGTTCCCCTGACTCTCCTTCCTTTAGAACCGCTTCTAGATCCACCCAACGACTGGAAAACATTTTTAAACTCGCTCCAACTTTTATCTGTAATCAATCGATCATTAAGGGATTGATTTGGATCGGTTCCTTTAAATCTGGGATATTTTACAGCCACAGGCAGCGGGCGCTCCAGCAGATAGACGGAGCTGAAAAGTCTCCATTCGTAGCCGCAGGTATGGAGACAACTTCAGGGTTACATTAGGTTAAATCTGCCCTTACCTTTATCCTGATGCCTTTGATCTACACCCCGATGATTGACAGGATCTTCTTCAACCACCCAGATCACCTGATCCAGCTGGGAAGCACTGAGAAGGACTAAAAGGTTTATTTCCAAACGGTTTTCCAAAAATATTTTCGGGATCGTTGCTCCTTCGAGCTCCGTGATCTCTCACTCTGATTCCGCTTGTTACGAACCACCACAGAGATCCTCACAAAAACACGACAGCTCACTCTGTTCCTGCTGAGCCTTCTCAGAAGGAGAAGAAATCTGACAGAGATCCTTTCTTCGACGTGATGAGTCACTTTGACGTTACCGTGCAGAACAAGTGAAGGCGAGTAAATATCA